AAAGAGACTTGAATCGTTTTATTTGGGAAGGCAAGAAGGCGAGAGTTAAATTTAAGATTATTCAAGATAGCAGAGAACGTGGAGGACTTAAAGTACCAAATCTGACACTCTATTATGATTCTTGTGCATTAACGTGGATGACTGACTGGATTAATCTGTCCAACAAAGGGATTTTGAATGTCGAAGGATGGGATTTGTATTTTGGGTGGCATGCTTATCTTTTTATGCAGAAAAAAATTGATAAAACCTTCAGAAATCATATAATAAGGACTGCATTGTTAAGAGTTTGGCAAAAATACTTTTTTAAGTTTGATGTTAAGCTACCACTCTGGGTGATACCATCACATATTTTTCAAACTATAACTAGAGGAGTGGTGATGGAGGGACATACACACTGTAGTGTCTCTTGAACATGAGTGTTACTTCTGTTTTGTGATGGAACTTCTAATAGCCATATGAAGAACTGAAAGACCAAAGTTAGAAGTAAAGTGTAAAGGGATCAGACACCTTCATTAGAATAATAATGCACCGATGTCAACCACTCTTTCCACTAAGAAATAACCAACTCTTGTTCAGTTGGGGCACACAGGCAGGAAAATGAATAAAAATTAGAACCTGGGAAAAATAGAATAAAAATATATGGCTGGAAGTTTCTAGTTGCCAGCTGCTCGTTTTCTGCTCTACCTATGCCATTTCTAGTAGTTGCAAAAATAAAAACTAGTTAGGGTCCTAGAATCTTCTCCTGTTACTTTTTGAGTAACAGTCAGGAAAAGGCCTGATAAGAAATATGAATTCACAATAGACAAAGTTTTGATCATACATAGAAATACGTATGAAGGAAAATGTGACTTCCCAAAAGTCAATTTTCAATTCCCAAAATAATTGTACTGTATACTGAGTTTTAAATAGTTAATTTCAAGAATACTCAGTAAAACTGATATTTTGTGATGTTTCGTCTTTGACCCTAAAGCAAATCACTCCCACAAAAGAAGGACACATGTCAATAAAAACAACCACTTTTTAATATTTGAGAAATACAGTCTATGAGAAAGGAAGTAATAAATATTCAAGACTAAATAATAGCATTAAGAAAGATAAATTTACTAAGATGAAGTCAACCACAATTTGGGTTTTTACACTTTGTCCTCCACTCCATCAGATACTTCGATTTCATTAAGTTTGAATGAAGGTTTGATACATCTTAGGATCATTTAGTGGAAGAGACACACTTGCTTTCATAACGGCAGAAACAACTAGTTAACATGTCACAGCATGGTCACCTAGGCATCAGCAAGACCAGCAGTTGGCAATACACTGGGAATGGGCATTGCTGGGAACACCAGAGAAGTGATAGTCAGTCACATTTGGCATTCTCTCATCCTTTCTTGAAGGATGTCCTTCATTTAGGAATGTTTCCTCTTCTTCATAGTTTCTGCCTTGACAGCCAAGCTCTTTGCACAGATGGTCAAGACCACAATTAGGACTCCAACCAGGAATGTGACCACTGGCCAAAGGAAGCAGTGCAAAAGAACAGATTCATCATGTGTACGTTGTAGCAATACATCATCTGGTCTGTAATAGGAAAGACAGCAGAATTATAGATGGGGAGTTAGAATCAACCATCCATGAACCATAAAATATATGTTGTTTGCAACATCATCAGAAACAATGTACTGTTGTGATGTCTCTAATTTTTTACAAAAATCAGATTTGAGGGGAAGAAACTAAATTAAATATAATTAATCTTGATATGTTGTTGGATATATTGATATGTTTTGGAGTCCTGGTGGTACAGTGGTTAGAATGCAATATTGCAGGCTGAGTCTGCACACTGCCAGGAGTTCAATCCTGACAGGTTCAAGGTTGACTCGACCTTCCACCTTCTGAGGTCAGTAAAATGAGGACCCAGATTGTTGGGGGCAATATGCTGACTCTATAAACCACTTAGAAAGTGCTGTAAAGCACTATGAAGTGGTTATAAGTCTAAGTGCTATTGCTATTGTATACAGTTCTAATTCTCATGAAATAAAAATGCTCACTTATTTTTTTTAATTTAGTTCCTTATTTTTAACACATACACAGATTAAAAACAAACTATTTCAGAAATATCACTGCTACATATGCAGTAGCTTCCACTGCATTATACCAACTGGCATCCACTGAACACAGTGCAAATTCCAACATGTATGCACAGTTCCTAACAAAGTACAAAGCTAAAAACAATATACTTCTTAAATACAATAAACATTTCTAAGGTGTTTAGAAACTGAATCCTAAAAAGGATGGATATTTTAGAAACATGCTTCCAAATTAAGTACTTATAGGGGAAAAAGAAAATCATTTATAGTTGCCTTCATAGTCCCCAAACTTGAAGATTATTGAAAAAACATGGGGAGATCTTAAACATGCAGTGAATGCAAGAAGAAGAACAGGAAGCAATTCCAAAAACAAGAATAGAAGAGCTCGTAACATTCTTATAATTTGTAAATAAATAAAAATCTTGACTGTCGGGCAAAGAAAGTACATGAACTGAAGCTGATGGAAGCTATGATTATGTGCTTGCAAACCTACTCCTGCTCCATCCTGTATCTTTCTTAACCCCACCAACTTGTTAGCCAGGCTATTTCTTCTGGAAATAGTACTAGCACTAGCAGTAGTTATTTATTTTTAGCACTAGCAGTAATTATTTATTAATATCTAACAAATCAATAGAGCATACTTGAGCCACCCCACCAATTTGTTAGACAAATATTTCTGGACATGAGAATATCAATCTTCTGAAAGACTAGCATTCCCTAGTCAGAAATTCCAGTAGCTCTGTATTCACTCAGAACATAGTTAATTAAACTTTCCATTTCAAATATATGTCCAGGGACCCTCAACTTCACCCTGCCATGTTACAAAGACAAATTGATGGTTGTTTTTCTCGTGGCAGATGGTGCTGGGTAAGAGATGAAAGAAAAAGTAGTAAAGGAATCACTGCTTTGAAACATTTCCATATTAAAGTTGTAAGATCAGTACTACTTGCCAGCCTTGTTCCCGAAGCACATGAAGCTCAACTGTCTGAAAGACCTGTGCAATTTATGCTGATATATCTTTTCTGGTTGACTCAAGGATGGAAGGAGTGCATATTAATCTTGCCACCCAAAAGTGCTTTCAGTTTATCTTTTATAAGACTAAACCAGAATCTGCTCACTTCTTTAATCAACAATACGTGTAGTTTATATAGAGAGACACCCAAGTTAAAGAGGGTTTGTGATCTTTTCACCAGAGGCTCTCTGTCTGCATTTGGATTCAGCAGTTGGTTGCAACTCAAAAGGGAAAACAGCCAACTAAGATGACAAAATAAAGGTTGGCAGATGTTCTATTCTCTAAAAGTAGAACATTCTATTCTCTAAAAGCCCTTATTACAAAGGGTTCCTTTGCTGCAACAAAGCAATTATCCTAAGATGGATGACTCCGAAGAGCAACATAGTGCTCTGCAGATGGTTATTATCTATTGCATTCTTTCATTTAGTAAACTCTAAACAAATATTTGGGCACAGCATTTATCCTGACATAGAATAAAAGATATCAGTCAGCCATGGTACAGCTGCCAAGTCACAATGGAAAATAAACAGTAGAGTTAATTTGGCACAATGAGTGAAGGGATACATATCTGCTGAACTATATTGTTGCAGAGAATGAGGTAGAGACACAATACAAGTCTATATGTATACAGAGGTAAATATATACTATATGGCATGAGTATTAGTAAGGGTGAGAACACATTTCATTGTAAGTAACTCTGTGTGAAGAGTTCTCCCTCCTCCTATGAAATCTGTGCCAAGAGGCCATGCTACCTATGGTGAAGTCTCCAACCTTTTTGAGCTATAGGGTTGCTGCTGAATTCTGCATCTGTTGTGAGTGTACTTATAGTCTGGTTGCCCATCAACAGAATAGTTGCAAAAATGGTCAGTCACAAAATGACTATTTCCTGAAAGACAGTCTGATGAGGCTGTATTTGCCACCCACTAACTCCCCAAAGACAGTTTAACTTTCCAACTCAACTATGTCTAGTATATTTTCAATTATGAATTTTCTCCTGCTTCCCTTTTATAAGTTATTGTTCAGTAAAGGGAAACTTCATGAGTATAAAACACAAGGGGTTCAAGACTGAACTAACCAGAAGCCTATGCAATCAATTCCAACATTGAGATCACAAAGTAATTAAGTCTAAGGTAATAAGCCAGCTCTACAGCCAAGTATTTGTTGCAGATCATCTCTCTGCATTGCATTCTTGTTGGCTGTTTGCTTTTGAAAAGGAATATTCCTGAAGGGGTTCAGGAGTTTTTTGGAGAAACAGATAAATCAATATAAAAGCACCAAAGTGTACTGTATACTTGTTCTGTTTCAGGAAAAGAGGCATTGAGACGAAGCAATGAGTTCCAACAGTTCTCCTTTATTGCAACACCAACAGAACAGCTTTTAAAATGGTGCAGCCCCCTTTTATAGCCCCCCTGCACAATACCTTGCTGGCCAATCATTGCAAAGGCTGGGAGCAGCCTTTCTTGTCCCGGGCATCCACATCTTGTCCCGGGCCAATCGCTGCAGCCTGTGCCTGCCGGCCCAGGACATAACAATACTGATAATTATTTCAGGAAAAAGCTAAATCCAGACAAGAAGAGCTGGAATAATGTTGTTATTATTTGGCAGATCTTATGACCCAGGCACAATGGAGGTTCTGGTCATCTAAAAGGTTCTCCTGGATCTCTTTGTGAGTCTCAATCTCAGGATAGGAGTAGGAAAGCAACAGTGGGCATAGTCTGCATGTTGAGATTATGTTGTGGGCACTGTCACAAAAGAACTAGCCAGTGGGAGGCCACCTATGTTAGTCTGTAGTGCAAAAATCAAGACTCTGGTAATACCTTTTCTGACTAGCAAATGTTATTAAAAAGCATAGTTTCATGAAGTTCAGCTCTTCTGATTGATTGATTGATTGGTTGATTAGGTGCCATCAAGTCAGTGTTGACTCTTAACAACCAAATAGATAGGGTTTTACCATGTGATCTATTCCTAATCTGATATTTCAGGTTTTCCAATGTTGCATAGTCACTGTAACTGAGTCCTTCCTCCTTGCTGCTAGCCATCCTCTTCTTCTCTTTCCTTCCATCTTTCCCAGCATTACAGCTTTCTCTAGGAAATCCTGTTCAAAGCAGGATAATTTGAGCCTTGAGTGAGAATTCTGGGTTGATTTGTTCGATGATCCATTTGTTTGATTTCTTGGGTGTCCTTGGTATTCTCAGGAGTCTTCTCCAATGCAATACTCTTCCTATCCTGCTTCTTCAAAGTCCAACTGTCACTTCCATAGGAAGTCACAGGGAGTACTATTACAGGTTGTCCTGGAGTTATGACCAAATTTGTTCAGCAACCATATGAAGTTGCAGCGGCACTGAATGAATGGTATTTATGCCTGGTCCTTGAAGTTACAGCTCTTGCAGTGCCCCCACAGTGACGTGATCAAAATTCAGGCACTTGGCAGCCTGCTCACACCTACAACTGCCAGGGCTCTTCAACTGTTTCCCTCCCCCCCCCCGTTCTTTTATTTTCCTGCAGAGTGGTACTCTTCAGCAGCAGTGGCAGTGCTGGAGCTGAAGGAGAGGCCCAAGGCTTTCAGTAGTTTCATCCAGCCACCACCAACCCCCAGGCTTCTACTTCAGCCCCAGTGCCACTGAGCAATACCACCTCAAGCCTCATCTGTGATGAGCATAGCACAAAACCCCAACCATCCCTTCTACCCTTGCTGCCCTACATTCCACTCACCCTGCTGCCTTGCTGCCTATCAGCATTGCTGCCCCAAATGACTTTTGCTATCTTTCTCCTATTGCTGATGAGATGTACCCAGCCTGGCCCTAAGTAAGGCAGATGCTGGCTGGGTTAGGCCTTCTTCCCAAGGCTGCTCACACAATTCTTCAAACAGCACAGACCACTGTCACAATGTTTCTGAGGCTTTCTAAAATGTCACCAGGCACCTGCACCAAATCATGTTGGCCATTCTACAGTTTTTCAGACAGTGTTCAAAAAGCTTCTGAAACCAAATCAACAGTTGATGATCCATTACCATAGCAAATTACTGAACCCACAATTAGACTCAGAATTTTAACTTCCTACTTCACAGCATATGGTTCCTTTTAGGTGGTGCTGTAATTCTACTATCTGGATATCACAAGAGGATCATTCTCTCATGTCTCTTCTGTCTCTGAATGGTCCCAAACCAATGTTCAAACAATGTAACACAAAAGGGTAAGCCAAGTCAGGTCCTTTTAATACATAGTGGTTAGGGTGACTCCAAGATATAATTTTATCATATTTTATCTATATTTTAAATTATTGTACTCTATTTTAACTTCATTTTAGACTGTATTTTACTCCAATTTCATCTTAAGTCATATATTATTCTAGTTCCATTTTAAACTGTATTTTATCAAATTTTATTTTAAATTGCTTTATTAGACTTTGGTAATGATTTGTTATTGGAACTTTGCACTTTGATATGGCCCAAGGGCTAATCAATAAAGATTATTATTATTATTATTTGTCTGCAAGCAAGAACATAGTGGTTTTTTTCCAATTTTCAGAGCAACTGGAGGACCAGTTGACTCATGAAGTCAATTAATAGTTGCACTTCTGCAAATTGAAGCAGTCATAATGCTGCACCAATTCTAGAATCATCTAACTCTTGCTTGCTGCTATACTTCAGGTCTTGCAGTGCATATTTAGTTTCTGCCAGGTCCCTGCATCTCCTTTCTAAGTCTTGCCAACGCTGGGTTTTTCCAAGGCTAGTAGGCGCTCTGGGCTTCTGTAAGACTTGCCAGGGATATAAGCTGTTCCCTGCATTTCCATCCTCCCCCCAATCTGTCATGTGGCTTCTAATGCTGCAACTGAGTCACTTTGGCTACCACATTTTCCAGATGCTGTTACTGCAGCCACTGCCAAGGTCCTTGCAATGATTTCTTTCCAAATATTCCTTTGGCGTTCTCTGGACCTCTTCCTTCGGATATTCTTCAGTCAAGCTACTCTCACCTATCTGTTGTCAACAGTCTCTTGTGCATAAGGTGCACCCTGCACTTATCAACCCTCTCTAGATTCTTCCTCTTCTTCATGGACACTTCCTCACCATTCCCATCCCATGTCATCACTTCAGGAGCAGCAGTGCAGATAGCAAACCCATTTACAGAAATGCAGCCATTTTAAAGGAGGAAACTCAAACATTTCTCCTTTGTTCTGCATTTCCTCTTTCCAGACTTGCAGTTGACCATTTTATTCTGGGAAAGTCTAATTGGACCACAGGAACATTCTAAATAAATAAAGTGTTGGTTAGAAGTTGATGTTTTACCCAGCAGCAGGATGTTTCCTCCCTTTTTTAACATTACAAATCTTTACCTAAAGTTAAAACCAGGAAAGACAAGAGCTAACAAATATTGAGAAAAATGAATTAGCCACATTTATGCCTGTCTTTGTGTTATCCAAGATGAGCAGAAACACCTTCATCAATTCCTGGTGAGTTGCCAGATTTTTCCAAAATCTTCAAATGATGAAAGCAATGTTATGAGGAAACAGCATAGATGATGATAATGATGATCATGATTTATTAATTTTGTATGCCGCCTGATGTTTCCAGGGCATGTTTATACTCTTAGTTAGAGTCAGACGACCATGAATCTTAATCTAAATTTCATCCTAGGGAGTTGCCATTTATTCCAGATGCCATTTATTCCAGATTTACTCATTCCAAGGAGTTTGTGCTGTAATCAACTAAGATTATGGTTTAGACCCCCTCCTTAAGTCCTGTGGCTATGACCTATAATTGCATAGTCAGCTGCAAAAAAATGGGTATAGGTACTTATGACCACAACTGAGCCCAAAATTTCTGTTGCTAAGTAAAGTATTTGTTAAGTAAGTTTTGCACCATTTTATGACCTTTCTTGCCACAGTTCTTAAGTGAATCACTGCAGTTGTTAAATTAGTAACATAGTTAGGTGAATCTGGGTTCCTCATTGACTTTGCTTATCAGAAGATCGCAAAAGATGATCACATGACCCCGGCACACTGCAACCGTCATAAATATGAGTCAGTTGCCAAGCATCTGAATTTTGATTATGTGACTATGGGGATACTGCAACTGTCATAAGTGTGAAAAATGGTCATAAGTCACTTTTTTCTGTTCTGTTCTGTTCTATTTGTCATCTTTGTTTTACATTAGCAACATTCTGCTCTTCAACTGTTCATTTTAACTTCCTGGCCAATAAGGAATATAAGAACTTTCCTGTTTTCATTATTGTTACTACTAGTAGAAGTATTTTAATATGTTTGGAAGACAAATGGTAATTTATTTGTTTTTACTACAAAGTTCTGTTCTCAAAGATCAGAAGCCAATCAAATTTTATACGGGGGGGATGTCCTAAACTCAGGATAGCAACCAGGAATATACCTTCATCTATGCAAAATCTAGCAGTTTGACTTCCAAGGAGACAAGGTTGTGTTTAGACCTGAGCCCTGATTTAGCTCAACTCTATCTTCAAATCGCAGGGGGGGATGTATGAACACTGTGGAAATAAAAGGTCATTAAGCAAAGGTACCAAAAAGACAGTGAGAGTGGAGATAATATATACAAATGAACTCATAGATGTGCGAAAATACTTACCTGAGGTGCTGATTAAAGTAGCAAGTGAAAGGCTGAGAACCTACTTCAACTTCCCAATAAACCTGCCAGTGCATTACAATATCAGAGTTCTTCTCATTTTCCCGTTCGCAGGGGGGGATGTATGAACACTGTGGAAATAAAAGGTCATTAAATGGCGTCTTTTTAGTATGCAGCATTTTAACTTGGCTCTTCCTTAACAGTTTTCATAATTAAATTTAAATCATATGGCTTAGAAATTCAGCAAAAGACAAGTGAGAGATTTAAATGAATACTATTCAAGAATGGTCACTGAACACTGAAATTTTCCTATTGAACTGAATTTTCTCCATCTCTCCCTGTGCACATCTCCAGCCTCTAATTTTAGACAGTTACATAAAAAAGGGTGTGACACAATAGAATAAATCTGTAAAGAACACAAGAAGAGCTCCACTAGTAAGACTAAAGCCTTTCTAGGCACAAATAGAATTTTTATGAGAACTCATAAAAATGAGGACAAAAGCTTAGTAGTTACTTCCCGTACTGCATTTTAGAGCTATGTTGTGTCTTGAGTGTATGTAATACATGTAGTCCTCAACTTACGACCACAACTGAGTCCAAAATTTATGTTGTTAAGTGAGAAATTTGTTAAGTGAGTTTTGTCCTATTTTATGGCTTTTCTTACCACAGTTGTTAAGTGAATCACTGCAGTTAATTAGTAACATGGTTGTTAAATGAATCTGGTTTCCCCATTGACTTTGCTTGTCAAAAGGTCACAAAAGGTGACCCCCAGACACTGCAACCGTCATAAATGTGAGTCACTTGTCAAGCACCTGAATGTAAATCACGTGACCATGGGGATGCTGCAATGGTCATAAGTGTGAAAAATGATCATAAATCACTTTTTTCACTGCTGTTGTAACTTCAAGCAGTCACTAAGCAAACTGTTGTAAGTCAAGGACTAGCTGTACATTTGATGAATAGGCTTTGCTAGCATTTCCCTACATGACTATGTTGGAAGTAAAGTCTTTATCCTGGTTCATCCAAGCCGGGGATAAATAAACAACATGGTGACTGCTTTGGGAAGAAGGTTACAGTTTATTGAAGAGGCAGAAAGATGGTTCTTGCAGGAAAGACCAGAGGAATGAAGGACCTGAGCACATGGGCAGTAGGTTTTTATACCCTCTAGACTTTTGTTTGGAATCGTTTCTTGTTCCTGGGGCATGAACTTTGAGGCTATTTCCTGAGTCTAGGTGTGACTCTCTGGTATACTTGATGGTAATGGGTTAGTCCTATTATATCCCATCTCAGGTGGGATATGCAGATTTTAGGTCTTTCTCTTCTGGCTCCAGCTTTCTGATGGTTTTACATTTGCAAAAGAATCCAGCATGGCTGCACAAAGAACTCTCTGATAAATTGAAAGATAAAAGGGACAAGTATAAAAGGTGGAAAGAGGGGCACATAACTAAAGCTAAGGCTCAAAATGAACTAAGGCTTGTGACCAAAGTCAAAAATAATAAAAAAGCAAACAGTCCAACTTATCAAAAACAGTACCATAAAAAATAGATTAGAAACACAAGTTAAGATAGGCAAGAAAATGGTAAGTGAGCACCTAGACAAGTTCAAATCACCAGGACGAGATGGATTACACCCCAAGGTTCTCAAGAAACTGGCAGGTGTGATCTCAGAACCACTGAACTATATTTTTCAAAGATCCTGGAGCACTGGGGAACTACCAGAGGACTGGAAAAGAGCTGATGTAGTTCCCCTCTTCAAAAAAAAAAAATAGATCCAGGAAACTACAGACCCATCAGCCTGACCTCAATACCTGGGTAGATTCTGAAAAAGATAATCAAACAAGAATCAGCGAACACCTAGAGGCAAACAAAGTCATTACTAAAAGCCAACATGGGTTTGTCAAAACCAGATCATGCTAGAGCTAGACAAATCTTATTGCATTCTTTGACCAAGTGACAAAATTAGTGGACCAGAGGAATGCTGTGGATATAATTTTCTTGGACTTCAGTAAGGCATTTGATAAAGTTGGTATAGGCAGGAGCCTGAGCAGGGGGTTGGACTAGATGACCTCCAAGGTCCCTTCCAACTTTATTATATATTATTAAATGCAAGAGTGAAACCTTTCTAGCAGATGAACTTAAAACATTCCCTCCTGCTAACTTTGGGCTGTTCTTAAGAGTACACAGAGAGAAAGAGGAAAAGAAAAAACAAACAAAAAAATACATTTTTCTTCACTGTTTGTTGATCAAACAAACAGAGTGAGGTATTTCCTTTTTGTGGCTTATTTTAAGCAGAATTTCTAGCAGAATTTAAAATTATTTTCTCTTTGGATTTGAAACAGTTAATAATCACATTTACCTCACACACAAAGACTTTGACAAACATATATACACAAAGACAAGGAAAACAGAAAAGGAAACAGAAGTCTTAGTTTTACACATCCTAATCATTCCCACCATAAATTTCAGATAACTCAAGTTAGGGAAGGCACACATTTTAAACATACCACGTGGTTGCATAGAGAGAGAGAGAAAGAAAGAAATATAATCTTTCTCTTATTTTCCCTTTTAAGTACCTTTATTTAGCCAAATTGGTTTCCCAGCAAAGCCCTAGCAAAGCCCATTTTTCACAAATTTGTCTTGCTCGCTTTTTTTTTCTTACCATCCAGGACAGGCACCCGCCTCTCATCCCACACCTCGAGCAATTCTCCAATAAGTGTCCTAATTCCAACCCTCGAACTGCAGCTACCCATGTTCCCCTTCCAATGTGGGGTTCAATCTGGCTCAGTCGGGTTTTTCCCAGCAGCACTTCCCAGCCGCTTTTAGCGACAAAAACCCTGCCGCCCTGCCTATCAGTTTTTAGGGCTCCAAAAATTGCCCTAGGAAGACTCCGGTCCCTACGGAGTACAGGCACTTCCAGTTTAGGGAACTCCCTGCCATCACTTTGCGGACCTCAAAAATAAATTGTCCAAGGAGGACCTGCCGCACAGGTATCCATTTACACACCGCCTATCAGTTTTCAGTCTTAGGAGAAGTCTGGGAAGACCTGTGCTTTTTTTGCACTTGAGTACAGGCACTTCCTATAGGTGGGCTTTGCTTACAGGGCCTTACCAGCTAGTTGCCCAAATCCAATTCTCTCATTCACTCATTCCATTCCATTTTCACACAGCCTCTCCCTTTTCCCTAACAAAAGGTCCTACACTCTGGACAAACCCCCATGCTTTCCAGGTTCTGCCAATTAAACAGATCCTTTCTGAGGCTAGGAAAGACCAGAAGGAGCAAAATCCAACTGTGATTGGGAAAAAAGGGTCTTCTCACTCACACACACAGACATACACACATTTCCTTTGTTCCCCTGGGCTTTAAACTTAAAATTTAGAGGTACTCACCTTCACCTTCTTTCCAAAGCAGCCCTTGAGCTCAAACCCAAAACTCCCTTTACTACCCTGGCTCCACATGGGCAAGGCCTGGGAAATCCATCTACAGACACAAGGGGTCTGCTGCCGGCAAGATGGGGCTTACCAGTCTCAGTCCATTGGAGAGGTTAGCTTGGAGTCCCATCTCTGGGGTGCCAAATTGTCAGAAGTAAAGTCTTCATCGTGGTTCATCCAAGCCGGGGATAAATAAACAACATGGCGACTGCTTTGGGAAGAAGGTTACAGTTTATTGAAGAGGCAGAAAGATGGTTCTTGCAGGAAAGACCAGAGGAAAGAAGGACCTGAGCATATGGGCAGTAGGTTTTTATACCCTCTAGCCTTTTGTTTGGAATCGTTTCCTGTTCCTGTGGCATGAACTTTGAGGCTATTTCCTGTGTCGCGTATTCTGACCTGAGTCTAGGTGTGACTCTCTGGTATACTTGATGGTAATGGGTTAGTCCTATTATGTCCCATCTCAGGTGGGATATGCAGATTTTAGGTCTTTGTCTTCTGGCTCCAGCTTTCTGATGGTTTTACATTTGCATTTGTATAGGGCTGGCTCCTGCTGGAGACAGAGAGACTTGGGGGCAGGGTTGGTTTCTGCTTTTAAAAATCCTTTTGAGGAAAAATATATTTTTTCTGCCCTTTTAATATTTCCTTCTCTGTGGCTCTGACTTCCCTCAACTGATATAAAATAATATTGTATTCACTAGGGAAGCTTCCCATTCAGTCCAGAATCTGCCTCAGATAGGCAATCCTGGAGACAGGCTTTCCTCTGCTACAATTCATTCTCCAGATACACAAATCTTCCCAAACAGGAACACCATTGTTTCTTAGTGAGTCATGCCTGACAATATGTAAATCAGCCTTCCTATTGGTTAGGAAGAACAAATGTTTCAAGAAAAGGGTGCTGGGGAAATATTTTGCTTCAAAGGTAAAGGTTTCCAGTAGAGGACTTGTAATCAGAATTGTTTGTTTATGTTTTAAACATATTTATTATCTCTGGCATCTTGATGACTCTGATAACTGTCTCTAGTTACTTTTTTTGTTGAAATGCAGTGCAAACTCAAGTTTTGTGTTTACTTCTACTTCAAGCTTTGAGCTAAAATTTTCCTGTGAATCTGTGACCAGTCTTCTTGCTGCTTTTTATTGGAGACTGATGTGATTTATGCTGCTTGGCGCCTTATTTACTTGCTTGTAAAAGTTTTAATAGTTTGACTACCTAAGATTATAAGATGTTTTCTATTGTTCTTATTTTTAATACTTTTTTTATTTTACCTTGTGCTTTTCTGCCTCCATCCACAAAAAGGAAGGGGAAACTGTTTTCTGTGGTCACCTGGCTCAGAGGTACAAAGGGCAGGAGCTACAGATTTTAATTTCCTTTTTCATTACTATTAACACAATCATTACTACCATTATTATTCCTGGTCTATTAACTAGTATGTGTTCAGGGATCCCTATTTGTCCTATATCTTAGGGTTAAGAAGAGATTAGAAGATAAAGCCATCCCCTAAACATATAGATGCTTGCTACAGTAATTATCAAGAAGCTGCACTTAAAAGAGGAAAGTAAGCCTGGGAATGTGAAACATAGTGGATTTCTGAGAGAGGAAGGTTGAGTCCCCCAATCTTTCAACCTACAGGCTCAGTCTCTAGCTGTTACAAATATATAAATATAAAAGGTGCCATTTTTATTTCTAATCAAAATTAGATTCAGATC